TCTTGGTTATTTTTTACCATAATTTTTACTGTAAGTCAGACTTAATTAATTCTCTAGGTAGGCCCAATTTGGGAGGAAAATAACAAATTTTGGTCCATCAAGTTTCTAGACTTTTCCATGGCCCATTCTTTCCTAAGTCCCTCTTTCATGCAAAAACTCACTTCTAATACTTCCTTTTTAGTTTTTAGGACTAATTTTTAACCCTTAACATTCTCACATAATTTAATTTGGATTATTATACTTTTAATTTTATGCAATTGAGTCCCTAATTTTATGCAATTTAGTCCCTACTTTTAAAATCCCATTCTATACTTTCAAAAATCAAATTTCTTTCTAGAATAAATTCAAAAATTCATTAAGGGAGTTTGATTTAAATTTTCATAATTTTTTGGCCCTAATTTGAGCCTTCAATTTATTTATTTAGTGTGAAAATTACACTATTTCCTAAAACAAATATTCCCTACACTTACTAAAATTAATTTAAATTTTCTAGGAACTCTCAAACATTCTATATGATTATTCCATGCTCTTCAAAAAAATTTCTCATACTTGTAAGGTGCCTAATTAAATTCTTTACCTCTAAAAACACTATTCCTACACTTAAAAAATTCAATGAAATATTCACCATATATAGAAAAATTCATAAAATCATATAAAATAATCTAACACCCTTCTAAAAATTATTCTAAATACAACGATATTTTCATACACAAACAACATGCTTTAATTAATTTTCTCATGCAATAACTACTATTCATGTACCGAAAAATCACTAAAATATTATTTAAGCATGGAAAAATATTTTGACCCTTCTAAATATTCTTTTAATTTTCTAATAATTATTTCTCATTCTAAAAAATATTTATTTATTTATTTTCACATGATTTTAATATTAAACTTTTATTATATTTTTATTTTAACAAGTATCGAGCATTACAACGATTAACTCTACCACTTGGTAATCAACTCCGGACACGTCGGCACTTTTTACTCTCGGGTGGCTGTTGGGAACTCAAAATAAGAAAAAAAAAAAAAGGAAGCAAAGATTAGGCATTGAAATAAGGAAAAAATAAATAAATGTTGAGCACCTAAAAAAAAAATCAATAGTTGGACACCAAAAAATGAGTTTTCTCAAGAAATTTATTTCAATTTTCTCACCTAAAATATCTATCTCCTTTTAATACTTTGATCTATCATTTTTATTATTATAAATAAATTTCATGCATCGATCTTTTGTACTTTCATAATCTTTATATATATATGACCTCTCAAAACTTCTTTTTTTAAATATATTTAGAGTCACATAATTTTAAATTTTAAGAACATCATCAATTATATGCATGCATATTTTCTTATTATTATGCTAATTGTACAAGCAATTTTAACAATGCATTCACTAGACCTTATTAAGTGAAGCTAGTGTTCCTCGCGATTCTTGACATTTTATTTTTAAAACGATTGTATATTTTAAAAAATAGAATGCCCTCTCTTATTATTAAAAATAAATCCCCATTCAAAATTATTTTTAAGAAACTCCTAGATTATTTTTTTTCTAAAAATATTTTGATGTTCATGCTTCCTTCTTTTAAGGCCTTATAATAAAAATAAAATAGACTTTAGGACTACTCATATATTTTTCTTGGATATAGTCCTTCTCGGTTGAGCTATCCTTGTTTACACCTTAAAACTAATAGATTCTAGATTGCCCAACATGTCCATTTTGTAGAAACGAGTTTTCATTCTCAAAGACAAATAATTTGAATATTCAAGCCAATCTAACATCACAATCATCTTTTGGGCTAGTATTTCAATAAAAACTACATCTAATTATAATTTTATAAAATTCAATCGGCATCACTTAGACTCTGTCCATGACAAACACCAAATGAATCCACCTCTAAATCTTTAACCCTCTTGTCTAATTCACCCAACTTAATCCAAAGCCCACAAACTATTATACCAATTACACACTTATAGTCTCCTACCTAACAACTCACACCTATAGGTGTTAATCATAACCTCCCAATTTCAATCTCAAAAAGTGGTACACATCAAACTAATAAAGGGTTAAATTTAGTATTGATTTCATTGATTATGACTTAGCAAAAGAACATGTTGGTACTCATCAGTCTACACCAAAGGCAACCCACACACATCACATGGTTCTATGACATATCATAAAGAACTCTAAACCACGAGACTTCACTAGCAATCATCATCGAGTGATTCAAAAATCACTATCCTACTATTCCGAAGCCAATAAACACTTGGCTTGGAGAACATCAATGGTTGTTGAGGTTATTGTCCTTCTCAAAATAGATACGTGGTCTTTAGTGTCTTCTTCTCCTTCTATGAACATTGTTGGAAGTAAGTGGGTGTTTAAAAAAAAATGATGACAACCTTGAGAGATATAAAACCGGGTTAATGGCTAAAGGGTTTCATCAATAGGAGGTGGTAGGCTTGTGAAGAGACTTTTAGTCCCGTAGTCAAGCCATTCTCCTTTTAATGTGTGCTCACTTTGGTAGTAAACAATGGATTGAACATCGGGCAATTAGATGTGCATAATATTTTCCTGAATGGGACTTTGACCGAAGATTTATATATGTCTCAACCCATTGGTTTTGTTGATGATAGATTCCTTGACTACGTTTACAAACTCGAAAAATCCATCTATGAATTGAAGCAATCAACCCGGGCTTAGTTCTCCTATCTTCAAGATTCTTGGTAAGTTTTGAATTTATGGCATAAAAAAAATAGATTGTTCATTGTTTATTTATAGTTCACGGGGGTTCAAGGTCTTCCTCCTTGTCTATATGAATGATATTTTTCTCACATGTAATAATAAAAAATTCATCTTATACGTGGTTAATGCCTTGAACTCACGAGTTTACAACCAAAGATCTTGGAGAACTCGGCTTTTTCATTGTTATTGAGGTGACTAAGACTTTGAGAGGTCTACTATTGTTTCAAAGGAAATATATTACCGACATTGTTGTTAAGTAAGGAATGCAATCATGTTGTCCAGTTTCTACTCTAATTTCGACTACTTCTAAATGGAAAAAGGAATCCGGAGTTGAATTTTTAGATGCCACACTCTATAGTCGGGTCGTGGTTGCATTACACTATGTGACCCTTATTCAACTTGACATTGCCTATGCGGTTAAGGTTGGTCAATTCATACATAGTGCAAAGATAGACCATTGGGTTGCTGTGAAAAGAATCCTATGGTATCTTAAACATACGACTAGTTATTTTTTGTATGTTCACAAGTCCACTACTATCCTTTTAGGATTTTCAAACTACGATTGGATAGGATCTTTAGATGACGAAAAATCGACTAGGGGTTATGCAATTTATCTTGGTAACAATCTTATTTCTTGAAAATCATCTAAACAAAAGATTGTGGCCGAAGCTCTATCGAGGTTGAGTACAAGGCAATAGCTGACTTAACTCGTTAAATTATCTTATGTTATTTCTCTACTAAAAGAATTTAGTGTCTCTTAACTAGCTCCTCTAAATATTTAGTGTGATAATATTGATGCTACCTATCTAGCAGTAAATTATCTAACAGTTTTAGTTTCTTTGAGATAAACCTATTGCTGGTGAGGACCACAATTCATTAGTTTGTGGGAGAGTATTAGAACCATGCAGCAACTGCAACTCTCAACAACAATCACGGCAACAACATTTTGTTATACAAAATAATCCCAATAGATTCTCCAATAATTTTGCTAACACGCCACTCCTTTAACAAACTGATAAAAATACACGATCTCTTCAATCTCTCTTACAAACTGATAGGGATACAGACTATAAGGATAAAAGTTTTGATTGATATTTTATGTACTCCTGTATTTATTTATTATATTTATCAAGTCTGTATGCATATCACTTGTAACAAAAATATGTATAAATGGAGGGTCTCCGAGCCTATAGGATTTACAATATAGAGAATATTATTATCTCTGACTTTTCTTAAACTCAATTTATACTTAACTTAGCATTCTAAAGATTTTTCAAATAAGAGATGAGAACTTGTATTTCTATGTACATACGTAGGCATGTCTTATTTCATAATTAAGAATAACGAAGACGTTCCATCAACCTTAATTGTGTAGTTCAATTGTTTGAGACAAGTAAAATCTTCTTCATTTTCGAAAATCTTATCTAGGATGGCGTGAAAATGGGCGTGAACTAGATGTTTGAATGTGGTTTTTATGCCCATTTCAAAGCTTTTGTTCGAAAGTTAATTTCATTTCTTCGTGGGTGAGAAAATGGCATTCAAACAGTAAATTCAGCGCCGTTTTCACGCCAATCCAATGTTTGACCGTTTTCATTTTTTTTTTCTGTTACGTAGAAAACTAAAAAATTGATTATGATAATATTTTAATTTGTATAAAAGATGAAATGAACTTTTAAAGAAATAAAACAATAATTTCCCATGCACTGATAAATAATTAATCATAATTTCTTTTCGAAAAGCGGGTCACGGGTGGGTGGACGGTGATGGATGCATAAGAACAAGACAATTATTTAAATTAAAATATTGTCTTGCCCTCGGTGCTTTTAACGAATTTCACTTTCTCTATCTTATAAAAAATAAAAAATAAAAAAAATATATTGTTTTGGTTTCATGCACTAAAACAAGCATATCAAAGGTAAACTAGATTTTTACCCTCATAGATTCGTCAATCTTCCACATTCAATCCCTATAGTTTAAATTTTCTAAATATTACCTTTTGGTTTCCAAAAAAAATATAATATTTCCCTTTTACTTTGTGAGGTATTATAACATATATGGGATTTTAAAATAAAAGTAAGAAAAATATAGAGGTAAGATTAGAAAATTTTAAATTAGACGGAATATTAATGAATCTATAAGGACCAAAATGAAGTTTACCTTTCACTTATCTTTCTGTCTACCATTTATTTATTTACCACATTTCTATGGCTGTCAAGCCACTTGAATTACATGTAATTATTGTACAGCCCTCTCAAAACTATGGAAGGTCACATCTGCAATCTGGCCGAGACCATGTTTTCTTCAATGTCAGTGTACTTCCTCTATAAATTTGTAATGCAGGTTCTGTCTCATTTCGATCATGAATTAGCCTTGAAAAGCCATTAACCATGCTTGGTATATCACCTACTATTTCATACCTTTTTTAAAAAAAACTAACTTATTAAATACCAATGTACCTTTAGGGGAAAAAAATCTTCCTTTTAAGGAATTATAATTGAAGACTAGCATGTTTCAACTGGTTCTCTGACAAGTTGAGAGCCATGCATTAATTTCCCAAGTTGAACGGTATCTACGACTAATATAATATCATAAATAGACTTCATTCCACCGTTTGAAATTTGAGTTTATATGATTTTTGACATTGTTTTAAATTTTGAGTTTATATCCAAACAATACAGCAATAAGTTTGTGCAAATTTAGAGTATAAACAGTTTTCATTTAAAAAAATATGTAAGAAAGCGTGTTAGATTAAGCTTGATGAAATTCAATGATGTAATTATTTTAAATTTTACTTTTTTTGAAAGAATATTTTAACATGGGGAAACATCAAGTACTTTTCAGTCTTTGAGACATAAATAATTACGATTAATTTTATATTAAAAAAATATTTTTTGTATTTTGTGTTAAAAATTAATATAAAATCATCATAAGGTTATATTCAGTAAACATAAGTTTAATAACTATAATAATTTTTTTAATATGATATCAATTTTTTTTATAATTAAATTATTATAGAGTTAAATTGTCCGATGGGGAGGTTTCGAATATTATTAGTTTCTATATCTGTTTTATCCAATTCTTTGAAATCGTTTAAGTTTTGTACACATGCTGTTGCGGATCAATTAGTCAAGCAAGATTATATTTAAAACTTATATCATGAAGCACTTTCTTCAATTTCCTCCCCATTTTCTTGATGTTGACGAAGCTTTCTATTTAATAAATTCAATGGATTCTCTTCAAAAAATTTAATTAAAAAAAAAGATGTTCGAAAATCACCACTAATCCACTATTTAGATACAACGAATAGATGAAATATAAAATCCAAAATTTATTACTAAAGTTCAAACTAGATGGACCACGTAACAATTATTAAAAAAAAATTTTATTAGTATATATACACGTGAATTGGTTAAAAACTATCTTGGATTTTAAATCAATAGAAAACTAGTTTGGTATTTTTGTTTTTATTTTATTTTTCCTAATTTAAAAAGTTAAATTGATGAATATTTTGAAAAGGGAAATTTTGTTTGAATTTGTTTGACATGAATGTTAGTTTTTTTCGTAGAAGTAAGCGCTTGAGTTAGAAGGAAGAAAACAAACAGAAGAGGACAATATTAAATTACTGGTGTTAAGCTTCTTTACTGCTCTATGAAAGCCTTACATTGCTAAGGAACACAAACCTAAATGAGCTTGAAAGAAAATGTGTCAGCAATCCTTCTATAAGCATTAATTGTTTTTCCCAATTCTCAAAACAATCAACAAGCAACTTCATGGTGGTTGTTGCCCAATTCCTTTTTCTTGATTCTACGACATTAAAATCACAATATCATAAGATTTTGCAAACAGCTACTCCATGCTTTGGTGGATGGTAAGAATTGGTACATTGTTGTTTGGAGCAGTTGAAAGCTGTAAATTCAACTTTACCATTCATAATCTTTTTTCTAAAATTAATATTTCAATCTATCTTTATATAATAAACTAATTATCTAATATGTTTTTATATTTTTAATTAAATAAATTTTATTTTCAATATACATTTTTGTCAAGATTTTCATGCCATACCACGAGAGTTATTTACTTAACTTTTATATGATTAATTTTTATTTCTAAAATATGCTTGCTAGCTAGTCCGATAAAAGGCTTTCATATATAAATTATGTGATTAATTTCAATAATTTAGCTTAAAATCTTATCAGAAAAATAGATTAGATACTTTATGCATGTATAGTCAATGATAAAATTAGTTTAATTAAGAATATAAAAATATTAGAGAATTACTCTATTACATAAAAACAAATTAAGTCATTAACCTTTTTTTCTAATGCATGAAGGGACTAATGACCAAATCTATGCACAATGCTCATTGAACGAGCTATATCCGAATTAATCGCCTGAAACATTCCTCTTTTCTTGATTTTTTTTTTTAATATAAACTTCTTTACTCTTAATGTTTTTCTTATAGCATCCTTATGCTCCTTAAATTTTTTAGTACGACCCTTTTAATGGTTTTCTATTCAATCTTTCAAGCAAATGCGACATGTGGTAAAAAATTTGACACCTATAATGACATGTCAGATAAAATTATCATGTAGAAACAAATTAAAAAATAAAAATAAAAAGTAAGAAAATTTAGTCGAAAGAAATAGTAAAATAAAATGAAATGGAAATAAAAAATATATAAAGATATAGAACGCTTTTCTCCCTCCTCTAGGTTGATCAAACCTTTCTCTTCTTTGTTTTTTCTACATTTAATCGACTGTGTCTGTTTTGATGACTTGAAATCCATTTCAGATCCTGAATCCAAGATACTAGTAATTTTCTCTCTTTTTTTCCCCTCAAGTTGGTCTTTTTTTATTTTTTGATTTCTCATAAAAAGATTGTAATTTTTTAGAGCAAACCTGATTTCATATCATTTGGATTCTTTGTTTTAGGGCTTAATTGAAGGGTTAGATTCAAAAGACTCAACAAAAATTTGTGAGTCGCTGAGTAATACTAGCTAGGCAATTTGCATTGTATCATTACTTCCTCTTATTGCTAGTTTTGTAAGTTATTTTTTGCTTGTAAATTTTAACTTGAATATGCTATCATTTAGTTGTTAATATTGTGTGTGATAATTGCTAAACATGTGTGTAATTTGTGAAATAGGACAAAGGTAATGTTAGTGATGGTAAAGGCCATGAAAAACCGAAGAAGTGCTTTAATTTTGCAAAGACCTCTATTATGGCTTCATTTGATATTTTAAATGCCTTTGGCGACCCATTTCTTCCGTTCTATTTTCTCCCAATTTTTTAATAGATTACAGTTTTTAATATGTTTCATATGGGTATATTAAAAGTGATCACTGATTTTGGCTTGTGTTGTGGTTGGATAGCTATTGCAGCTACGGCTAAAAGCTTCCAAGACAAAAGGTGGGTGTGTGAAGAAACAAAAAAGACTTTGAATAGGACAAAAAAAAAAAAAACCATTCTATGTTTTTATATATAATTTTTTTGTCTTTTCTATTTGTTTCAATTAAATTTTCTATTCTTTTTACTTTTTAATTTCTGGTTACATTGCACGTATCAATTTTTTTTTTAATCATCCGTGACATTTATTTGATACATTAATCAGAAAATCATTGAAGGAGCTAAATTAATAAATATTTTGAAAGTAGAGAAAAAAAATTACGAATAGAAGGGCAACATTAAAAAAATATATATCGAAAATAAAGAGAGGCTTCATTAATCAAGCTATGAGACTTTGAATGCAATGGTAAAATCCATGACTGTTCTGCCTAAAGGACAAAGAAAAAGGTTCTGTTTTTTTTTACTTTTTTTTTAAATTTATTTCAGTTAATTTTTTAATTTCTGTTTTTTTTTTTTTTTAATTACTTATCACGTGACAATTTTATTTGTACATGTCAAATGTTTTATCATTTGTTATGTTTGTTTTGAAAATTGACCAAAAACCATTAGAGAATCTATATTAAGAAAATTTTGAAAACAATGGAGGAACCATGTTAAAAAATTATAAAAAATAAAAAAGACATTTCATTTCGTGCCATTAATCAAGCTATATCCATATATATTAGTTTGCTATGATTTATAATTTTCAATATACGTCAAACTTGAAGATGTAATAACCTTTTATTTGAGCTTTAAATTTGTAATAATTTATTGAAGAATATTCAAATTAAGCAAGGATAGTTTGATTCATTTATATATCCAAATAAATGTGGAGAGGAAGAAAAATGGTAAATTTTTGTTGTTTTTAAATGTACAATTATTTCTCCACATTCGTACCTCCTAAAAACATTTAGATGTATTATAAAACTTATGTATATATACTTCTTTTAGTGGAATTTCAGCATTAGCATTAGTGGTATGGTATCCAATAAAAAAATGTACCATTATTTCTCGACATAAGTACCCACCAAAAACATTTAGATATATTACAAAAATCATGTATATTTCGTTTAGTGGAACTTTAGCATTAGCATTAGCAGTAGTGGTAGATAATACCTTGATAAAAAAAAAATCGAAATATAAAGTAATCTAGGATTATGTATACAATACTATCTTATTAAATTAATATTACTTTCATATCTATCTAGATTCATGTTAAATTATAAGAGAAAAAAATATAAATAAAGTTGAAATAAACTATTAGAATAATGAACTAAAAAGATAGTATCTGTAATAATAAATTAATAATCACATCTTTTCTGATCATTGCTCTTTTGTTAAAGCTATTCTTTTTCTTTTTCTGTTTTTTTTCCCTTCTTTTTTTGTCTTTTTGGATAGCGTTTAAGGTATTGATTTGTTGAAATGTAATACAGTAATAGAGTAAATTATAATTTGATCCTTATAGTTTAAATAAATTAATAAATTAGCTCTTATGTTTCAAGAACTATATATATGTTTGATCTTTATAGTTTTTAAATTGTTTGTAACTATACCCTCTTTTCAATCTCATTGTCATTTCTAATTTATTTTTTCTTCTTATTTTTTGAGTTGCAAAGAAAATTAAAGAGAAGTAGGGAAATTTTGATTAGAAAAAAAAAAACTATCAAAACGACTATGGTCAATCGTAATCAAAGGACACTAATTTAATTATTTTATACTATAAGGACTAGTTAATTAATTAATTTTGATAAATTATCGGAACTAAGTTACATTTAGCTCAATATAATATAACCAGACAGACTGGTAGATGAGATATGTAGAGAGCCGGCTGATGTGGGCAAAACAACAGTTGCAAACGAAACTTTCATTTCCACTTTGCTTAGAATCTCTTGGTGAGATTGTATATACAATTCTTGGATGGAAAGAAACTCAAGATGACACAACCCTAAAGAATTTACTCCAAGTTTATAGGATTTTGCACTTGTAAAACGGTTAGAGGTTTTCGAGTATTTGAGTTTTAAAAAAAATTATTAAAAAAAAATATCAAAGTAGACGTTCATTTTTATATTTTAGTGACTAATTCAGTTTATCATGATAACATAATTTTTTTATCAGAATAACTATTAACGCTAACTGTATATTATTAAAAGAATAAGAATAATGTTTCGCAGAAAAAAAATCCTAAAGAAAATCCGTTAAGTCCTCATATTCCCCTTCAAATTCCATAAATAACTAAATAGCGTAGAAGTGCCAATGATGCAGATACATCAGGAGGGTTTACTGTCTTAGAATGATTGCCATTTCTATACCCCATTGCCGATCCTCACGGTTTGGACTTCAAATTCTTGTAAGCACGTACGTCAACTTCATGAATTGAAGGCCTTTTGTTGGGATGGTAGGAAGCCGCCGGCCGGCAGCTGAGATAGAGATAAGATATCAAATCCATATCGAGAACCTCACACATTTTAAGGTCCAGATTAATTTCCAGACACCACATTTTTTTCTTTGGATCGTAAACCTCACAATCATTTTCTGTGCCTTAATTTCAAAGTTTCAAACAACAACAACAACATAATAATAATAATAATAAATTTAATCTATGTTGATAAATAGATATTAAAGAACAATTGAGGTATAAATAGAAATAGCACTACTGCATCGGTTAGTAGAATTGAAACAATGTGAGGTGGAAGAAAAATGGTCTATATATTATAAAACTCAATAGAAAACTAAAAAAATTAGAAATATTATAAAACTCATTTATCTTTCAGTGGGGTTTATTTTAGGAATATTAGTTCTAGTGGGATGACATCAAATGTGGACAATAACGGGATGAAAAAAATGCCAAATATAAAATAAAATAAAATTATCTCAACAGTAACATATGTGTTATTAAATTATAATGTTACTTTCATATATATTAGTTTTTTTTTAAATTAGAAAAAAATATAAATGTAAAATTGAAATAAAATATTAGAATAATGAATTAAAGAAAATATAAATTAACACTTGAAGACAATATAAAGTAGATAACCTAAATTTGCATGATTGATCTATGGTACACTTGAAAAAAATATAAATTGTTTCTTGACTGTTCGTAAAGCTGCCTGGCAGACGGTTATGCTGAAATTAATATAATATTGCTACACAACTTGGTGATTTCTTGAAATAATACATTAGAATATAGTGAACTAAATTAACACTTAGAAAGACAAAATGTAAAATACATTAATAAAGTTTGCATGATTTCTTGTAGATATCACGTGTTTCTTGACTGTTATGAAAGCTATTTGGCAGAAGGTCATGCTCAAATCAATTTAATATTGCTACACAAAATTGGTGGTTGGAACATGGAGGTGACGTAGCCAAAATTATGACCACTTAATTATAAAAGAAAACTTTCATTTGCCACGTTGACTAGATTCTCCTGGTGTGTTTGTATATACTATTTAAAGATTGGAGATATACATGTCATTCGAATATTCTGAGCAGACCACATTTAGAGGTAGAATTCTTGCTCGAAATCAACAACCAATTGAAAATTGATTAGTGCCTTAATAGGATGTCATTATCCTTGCTATTTTAGATGTCCGTTTTGAATGAAGAAGATTCTCATCAACCAGTATTACAACAGAAAAAACATGTATTTAATGAATATTTATTTTTTAAAAAAAATTGTCATTGTCCAATAGATACCAACTACGATGGTTTTAGTGTCATTAAAGAAGAAATCGTCATAAGAATGGACATAAGTCCCTGAATTAAAAGTAAAGACCGTCAATAATTAAAAAATAGATCATTCTATCTCCTTCACAATGCAACTAGACAAAAATTTCACTTTTTATAAAAACCCTAAGGATCAAGGGTTTTAGGTTCTCATCCTAATCTTTCTACTCTACATTACTTATCCCTATCTCTAATCCACGTATAGAGATATATAAAATGCCTACTCAGGTATCTCCTTCCTTTGATCAATAATAACTTAGCCATCAATGTTTCTCAATCTATTAAACAAAGTTATTTTATAAATTGTTTGAGCATGAAGGATCTACATAAGGCATTGATCTCTATTATCGATATACTAGATGGACTTGTTTTGTAGGTTGTTGGAAAATTTGGAACGATCTTAAAGAAGAACAAAATTATGTAGTGCTTAATTGCGTGTAAAGAATACCTCACACTCGTCCTTAAAGTGATTATTGCCCTCACTATAATGCTACGAAATTTTAACAATTTACCTCTAGGATACAATTTATGCACACAAGGAACTGCATGCAGCACTCACGAAAATCCTTTAAGAGCATATCTCTTAAAGTTATAAAGTTTTAGAATGAAAAGAATTTTGAGAGGAGAGAAGGATTGCAGAGAAAATAATTGATTTTGTCGTATGCGGTGGTCCCCTATTTATAGATTACTGACACCCTTCATAACATATGTGATTGTTGACTCTAATAGCATATGTGATTGTTGACTCTAATAGTTATAACTGTTAGATTCTAATAGTCACAACTCGTTGAATTCTAACATATATAACTGTTAAACTCTAATAGTTATAAGGCCAATCTGTTATGTTTGTTTGAAAACTATTAATAACTAACCAACTGTAAAAAAAATTAACAATACTTTCAAATTTTCTTCATAACACACTTAACTTATTATCTATCATTCTTAAAATTTGTAACATAGGTAACTTGAGCAGAAAGGATCTCCATAAGCCATCAATCTCCAACATCAATCTTCATCCATAAAGAACCAAGTAATTACTAATCACTATTTGAGTTTTTCAAACTCATCGGTTGACATTGTTTGTGAAAAACTAAACAAAAAGTCAATTTCTAATATTAAAATTAAATTCTCTAAGTTTTTTTTATAGTTGATAATTGTTAAAGAATCATCTCCACTCAACAACCTAAACTTTTAAATGAGGTTTCGAAATGATTTTATATGACTCTCTAACACACTCTATTGCTATTTGACATTCATAGAACTCTTAAAATTTATTTCATGATTTATTTGTTGAAAATCTTGTTTATTTGAGGGTGTGAGTTATTATTAATTTCAAAATCGTCACTTAGTATTAAATGAATTAGGAACCTAAAATAAAAACTAGTTTAGATATTCTTAAGTAAGAAATTGGTTATACTTTTAGAAAGATATCAATCACTCAAAAGCATCATTTCCTAGTTTAGTCCTAAAAGTTTATCTCTTAAAAAATTCTACTTTTGCCAAGATTGATCATAAGTCAAAATTTCAAGTTTTATTTCCTATGCCAAATTATTATTATTATTATTATTATTTTTTGGTATCATATTGAATCAATAGTCGAACCCTTCCGGTCAACGTTACGTTAGTTTAACATTAGATCTAGTTTAAGTCTCAATATAATCCGTATGTCGAGAGAACAATCTAATTACTAAAGTGATTGATTTGGGTTAACATCAATCTCTATTATATATGAGACTTTGTTGATTTTTCTCCTATTATTTTTTATGTTTTTACTTTTCCTTTTTCCTTATTTTTTTATTTTACCTAGGATTTTCTCTTCTTTTTCTTTTTTTTTTCAATCTCTCTCTCTCTCTCTCATCTTTTTTTTATCTATCTAATATTTTCTCTTCATTACTATTTTCTATCTAATATTTTTATCTATCTAAAATTTATTTCATGATTTATTTGTTGAAAATCTTGTTTATTTAAGAGTATGAGTTATTATTGATTTCAAAATCGTCATCTAGTATTAAATGAATTAGGAACCTAAAATGAAACTAGTTTAGAGATTCTTGAGTACGAAATTGATTATACTTTTAGAAAGATATCAATCATCCAAAAGTATCATTTTTCTAGGATATGTACCACATCTAGTTTAGTCCTAAAAGTTCACCTCTTAAAAAATTCTACTTTTGCCAAGATTGATCCTAAGTCAAAATTCCAAGTTTTATTTCCTATGCCAAATTAATTTTTTTTTTTTTTTTTTGCATCATATTGAACCGATCATCGGACCCTTCGTCGGACGTCACGTTAGTTTAACATCATATTTAGTTTAAGTCTTTATATAACTGGTATGTCGGAAAACAATGTAATTACTAAAGTGATTGATTTGGGTTAGCATCAATCTCTATTATATAGGAGACTTTGTTAATTTTTCTCCTATTATTTTTTATGTTTTTGCTTTTCTTTTTTCCTTATTTTTTTATTTTACCTAGGACTTTCTCTTCTTTTTTTTTTTTCAATCTCTCTATCTCTCTCTCACATCTTTTTTTTTATCTATCTAATATTTTCTCTTCATTACTATTTTTTGTTTTGTTTATATATATACACATATATTTGGCACCGATCCTTAAATATTAGGAGACTCGACGATTTGACCACCTATTAATTATTTAATCTTATTGTGAAAATAAAACATAAGTAATTAAACACTTTCACTAAGTAAATAAATAAATAAAACTTAAAAATTCAAAAATATTAAACTTGAACTAGGCATGAAATAAAAGCATGTATAAAAAAAAAAAATTTAGGACTCGATTTACATAGGAAAAAGGCTAAAAAATGAGGTTAGTCGCCCTTTGGGCCTAGTGGGCCAAGCCCAACAAGCTAGCCTTTTCCTCCTCTCGAGTCGGGTTAAGCCCAACCATTCTTCCTTCCTTTCTTTTTTTTTTTTTTTCCATTTTTTTCTTTTTTGAAAGTCCGGTTCCTCGATATGTCTTAGAAATTCTCCTCCATTGATCGGAATTCCCCCAATGGTACCCAAGCATTCCTAAGCTTAATGGAACTCATCTCGGTTTTCCTTTATTGGATAGATTGAAGAATTTGAGTCCTTGGACTTAAGCGATCGCACCGACAATGTCACCGCATTCCAGTTTTCTTTGCTCAAATGGAAAATGGAATAAGGATTGACTAATATGAACTAAAGAGGGGATTCGGAGTTACCTAAGAAAAGCTTGAGCAATTGTGATGAACTTGGAAGCTCGAGTGTGGTTGCTTTGATTTTCTCTACTCGCAAGTGGTTGAAGATGATTGGTAAATTAGATTTGTAAAGGATTGTGTAATCTGGAGCTTATGAGGTATGTTATTGTTGTGATTGAGGATTGGACAAATCTTGAAGAGATGGATTTCTAGCATTCTTCAAAACCTAGAACACCAAGGAAAAAACCTAGAAAAGTTAAAAGAATAAGAACCCAAAACCTTTTTTTTAAAAAAAAAAACCCCGAAACTCAAGAATAAGAATCTAGAGTTTTAGAAAAACTTAGAAAACTTGAAACCCGCATTCCTCTTTATTCTCCTTTTGCTTTTCTTTTCTATTTTCTCCTTTGATCCCTCTTTTTAGCAACCACTAAACCCCTCCTATTTATACCCATTTTCTAGTCAACAATCTCAACTCTCCATTTCCTTCCTTTATTTCAAACTATTCAATCAAAACCTCCCACCACTCAATTCCGTTATTTTTTATAACGTCTTCATACTTTGTTCTTGTTGGAGCACGACTTGCTAACCAAGTAGGAAAGAAAGACTGGTGAGTCGGCTAGGAATCAAATCCATTAGAAAACCGGAAGAGATCAAAACCAAAAAATTTCTGGTTTTGAAACGAAGGAACATTCACTATCTCAATTTTTGACTTTCGAGCACTTTAGCAAATTAGTCCTTCAAGTTCTAATTTTTTTCAATCCTATCCTCTCGATTCCTTTCAATTATGTCCTTAATTCATCCTGATTTTTGTTCAATTTATCCTCTATTAGCTTTCAATTTCAAGTTGATTTAGTATGATTATGTCCCTAATTAAACATATCCCTCAATTTTGTATTTTTATATTTTTTTCTTTCCTTTTTTTTGTAGTAGGTACTAAAATAAAATAAATAAATAAATAAAAATAAATGAAAAATGAATAACTAAAATAATAAAGAAAGGAGGATACTAATAAATAAAAGTAAAATAATAATAAAATAAAAGTAAAAGGGATAAAATTAGGAAAAAATATATAACTCAAAATTTGGGTTATGACACACTTCTTCAAGTGAAAGATGTTATTTGAACTTGAAACTTACACATGTCGCTTATACTATTTTGTGTTTAATTATTTAGAAGAAAAATAGGAATTATGAGATTTGAACTCGTAATCACTTAGTTAATAAGACTATGTTATTATGTTAATAAACAATCTCAATGCAAAAAGTTAAACTTTTATGTGAAACTACAGGAATAGTTTTATATAATTTTTTAACAATAATCAATAAACTGTAGGTTGTGTGACCCCCCTAGACTTCACCAGTCTTCGTATCCAGCCCGTGGAAGTTGTCCAGTTACTCTAACATGTCCAAAACCACCCCTTCGTGCTCAACTGTAAGGAACCCCTGCACCACAATGTAATGCGCCGAGCACGAATTGAGATAATTGACGTCCTATTGAAGAGAGAAGATGAGAACGTAATGATGCAATAACAGTTAACGAGAGAATCGCCACTCTTCGAAATCCCAAAGGAGCCACCTTTATCACTATGCAAATAACAATCGAGTCAAGGCTCTCGTAGAGGAAGAGAAAGGAAAGAAAGGTCGGAACTCAACCACAGCACCAAAAACAAATACAGTCTTAGCAAGGATGGCCACGAAAGACACTACAAAAATACCTTCTCAGTGAACCCTAAACCAAACGCTAGCATACAGAAGAAAGCTTGGCCCCTACACCCAAACGCTAGCATACAAAAGAAAGTCCAATTAGATCTGGACCACCATAGCCACGTGAATATGAGTTGCAGTAGATGATGACATCAAACGTGGACAATTACTTGATGAAAAAAAGCCAAATATAAAATAAACTAAAATTATGTCCGCATATATGTTATTACATTATAATGTTACTTTCATATATATTAAATTTGTTTTAAAATTGAAATAAAATATTAGAATGATAAACTAAAGCAAGTAGCGTGGTGATCAATAAATTAACACTCGAAGGCGAAACGTAAAGTACGTAACTAAAGTTTGCATGATTTACTGTCGAGATCACGTGTTTCTTGACTGTTCTTCAAGCTATTTGGCAGAAGGTTATGCTGAAATCAATGTAATTTCACTACACAAAATAGGTGGTTGGGACATGGAGGTGCCGTAGACAAGATTAAGACCACTTGATTATAGAAGAAAACTTTCATTTCTACTTTGCGTAGATTCTCTTGGTGTGTTGTTATATAATACTATACATTCTTGGATGGAGAGAAACTCTGGATGACGTGCACAATGCTGAAGGATTTTAGCCTATTAGGATTGTACATTCTATTCTATTCTTTTTTCTTAACTTGGGGATCGAGGTGATATCACACTTCGCCTAAACAACTGTTTATCACAAAAATCAGTGGATTGAAATACTCATGGAATTGCAAAAAATCTGTTATACATAAGAAAATAACCAACTCTATTTTTCTTTACAGCTCCCTGACATACACTTACCACCGGTCATGTTTAATACAATTTGTTTTTATTTGGGATGCAGCTGATTTAACTTTTTGGGTTTTCTTGTTTATTCAAAGCCAATTCCTGCTATGTGCAAGTTCCTAAATTACTTGTATCGATGTAGTCAATTAGGAATTGCACATCAGGAAACTGTAAGCAGTATGGTTGCTGCCATTGGGTTTTTAGAGAGACAAACTAAGAGGGTTTATATTGTGATAAAAAGGTAGGGAGGTGGGTTCTTTAAGGGACTGTTATGTCCAAAATTCAGTCCAAGTCAGCAAATTGGATTACAAGAGAAAAGCCTGTTGGAAAATTGGAACATTAATAGTTTAGATAGGAAAACTATGGTCCATGGGTTCTTAATTAGAATTAGAAAAGTGGGTATGGGAGTGTAATTATCTTGAGCTAATACTATAAATCATAGAAACTAATCTTCCTGATAATAAGAAAGAGGAGTGGGCAATAATGGAGCATGATAATAAAAGAAATGAACAACATGGAGTGTTGCAAGACAACATGAACAGTTGGAAGAAAATGTAGAGCATGAAAGTACTGAAATATTATAAATACAAGTTGTAGCATAAGAGAAAGAACATGAATAACAGAACGATCAAACTCAACAACACTTAAAAATATTAAGAAGTTTTCAAAACATTCTTTCTAAGTTTCAGAACACCTAAAATTTATTAAGTTATTGTTTATAGAGAGTAGCAAGCAGGCAGTACTTAAAATGGACAACAGCAAGAGTTCAATAATCAAAGTAGAGATTAATATTGTGGGCTAATATATTGGTAGGCTGGTAGATCGATAACTTGCTTCTCATTCTGTAATATAATTTGTGTCTATGCTTTTTAAACGTTGAGTTCTTGTGAGAACATCATGTTTTGATGAAGAATCATAAGTTGCAAGCAATTTCTTTCATAAATTAATGTAAGTTCTCTTTTGAATCTTGTGTGTTATTAAAGTTTGCAAAAATTTTACTTTCATTACTTTTATGTTGTTTGATTTCAAAAATGTAAACTTTGAATGTAATAAGACTTGAAAAGTATAGATTACTAATTAACTTGCAATGATAGCTGTTACGAATAATTAGCCGTACAGCTTGCATCGCAATTTATCTAGGCAAATTACAGACTCCAATTAGGGCTTGCAAACGGTTGTTTAATTTATTTTTATATAAAAGAAAACATAAAAAAAACATCATAAGAGTAAATATTATAGCACATAATATAGTGAATTTAATTCATAAAAATTCGAGTTTGGAAGTTGGGTTGCTTTACAAACCATTATACAACCAATTCTTTAAACTCTTTTGTTAAAAAATTCTCGAGAATCAAGGCAGACACTAAATTACCCTAACAAGGATTTATATGCTATTTTGAAATAACTGAATAATGCTGGGAGTGTGGTTATGATGTGTGAAAATGTTTACATGTCTTGACTTTGTAATGGTTTTGTGCGTTCTTTGTTGACTCGGAAAATGCTGATGCAGGAGCTTTCGTCTTAGTCAGATAATGGAGAAGACGTGGAGAAGACAAGGAAAGGACATAAGGTCAATCAAAAGGGCTAGCTATACCTACATAATTAATGGACAAATCTCGATCACACCCCATACATTTTGTCAAAGAAGCAACAACTAACATGCAAATGCTTGTCATGAAATTAGAATTTAATCTCCTGAATCCGTTGTAGATATACAAGCCATGCAAGCCCTGAACTAAGTATAGCAGTAGAGAATTGTTGAAGTTGATTAAAATATTTAAGAGTAAATTATAATTTAATCTCCATTTTTTTAAATAATTTTAAAAATTATAATTTAATTCCTTAACCAAATTAAGCTAATTGACAGTATTTTATTTTTTGAAATTTCTAATCACCTTTTTTTAAAAAAAAATTATGTAGTAAGTGCAATGGTAAAATATGATTAAAATTGAAGGATATTTAAGAAAAAATAAATTAAATTGTCATGAAAAAACAATAATAGAACTAAAATTACCAATAAATATGAAAATATCGAGGCTGAGCATTGGATTTTTTAAACTAAAGGTATTAACTAATCATTTCATTAAAAAAACAAGGATCAAAATAATAATTTACTCAGCATTCAAAAGAATGATGGTCCATCCCGTACCCCATATTGGGGGCCAAATCCTGAATCTTCCTCAAGATTTGGACACATTGAACAGGCTGTGAGCTGTGGAGGAAATAAACTGCATGTGTACTCCAGCAATAATTGTGACCTTTTGTTTGGGATGGCAAGAAGTAGCTGGCAGCTGAGATAGGGACAAGTTATCAAATCCACTTCTAGAAACTGCACGCACATGTCATTTCAAGCTGGGCAATGACACAACGTGCTTAATTGTTTTAGAGTTTTAAACCACAAAAATTATTGCAGTGTCAGGGCTAACGTCGAAGTTTATTGGCCATAGAACTTGCCATTTTGAATGATTTAAGGGGTAATAATTCTACTTCTGCTCAAACCATAACTTACAAAGAACATGACAGTAGTCAATTCTTTCGCCTGCATCGAATAAAGGAAGGAATTTTGTCCCACTATACAGTCTATACCCCGTGCTTGGAGATGTGTAATTTGGATCTTTAAACTGGGTGATGCTTTGATACCATGAAAAGGTTACTTAGGATCCAAAGATAAATTCTATTCGAAAAGTTACAGAAATAAAGAGTTATACAATACAGAGACTTGTGTCTATATACAACTAGATTGCAGAGGAGAAATAGGTGGAGGATATACATGGTAGGTGAAGGATATACAAAACAGTGTTATACCCTTAATTATCAGCTTGAAGATTGTTGCAGACGGTGAATCCTTTAGTTATATATTGCTCGGAGAACTGAGGAAAAAGAAGACATGTTACGGAAAACACATGATCATTAGACAATCAAATGCAACGTACGTAATCTTTAGTATTAATCTTGAAAGATCATCCAACCAACTACCCTGCTGTATCTTTTAGGTGGCCTATTATATCATTCAGCCACCCTACAGGTTAATGCGTAAACTCCTAGTCTCTCCTTAATTTAGCCCACCATATGCTTTTATATTGGGTTAGTGGGATAGCGATCCGTTTGGTCCCTGCTTGTACTACAAACATTTGATTAATCAGATTTTTCTACTAATTTCAGTTTTAATTGAGTTTTTTTGTATTGAATCAATTTACTTAATGCAGATTTTTTGCTAATGAAATTAATTTCAATAGTAAGTAAATTACATAATCAAACTACATGTGTCGTTTAAGTTGATATTGATCCGGTTAGTTATTTTTCTTTTAAAATTTTTATTGAAAAAAGTATTTATTGAAATTGAAAATAAAAAGTAGTGATCTTTAATTTTTTATATTTCAATAAAAGTTTTTTGTAAAAAATAGAAAGAAAAAAAACTAATGAGATCGATCATCAAAGAATTAATTATGTAATTTACTTAATATCGTCCGCAATGTCATCAATTAAAAACCCACATTAAATAAATTGATTTATATAAAATCTCAATTAATATTTAAACTGATAGAAAAAAGGATTAATCAATTGCTTGTTCCATGAATTCTTCCTATATTTGTCGAAGCTAGGATAGGTTTGAATTTCGAAACCCGTTTGTCACGTGGTTAGTCAATTAAGAATATGGTAGAAAAAAAGCACAAAGCCAGTACAGAGCCAAGGTGGAAAAGGCAAGACAAGGAAGGAAGACAAAAGAACAGAAGAGTTTTTTTCGGTTTGGTAATAAAAGATATGTTCGAAGTAATTTATTAATGAGAAATTTTATAATACATCAAGAGTAATTAGTAGTATGTATAGTAGTTATTCTATGAGTTCACTTTGAAGAGAGATAGATACAAAAACAAAGAGAGAAACGGGAGAGATAATAAAAAAATTTGAACGGACGTGTAAATCTTTTTATCACTTTTAATACGTATAAATATAATTTTATTATTTTTTTATGTGTCTATCTCTCTCTTTAAATTGAGCTTATAGAGTAACTATTATAGATACCATTAGTTACTCCTCGTGTACCAATCTTTATTTTTTTTGTGCAATGTTTGGGTAATTGGCTATTGAGAGAGGTGAGAGAAGGGAGAGAGAAAACTCAAACAAGTCCCATTTTGGCCATGAAAACCACCGATTTGGTGTCCTTTTGTTTGTTTTCGCGAAAATAATTTATTGATATTGGGGATGCTATGCCATCAAATGATAGACAAATGAGAATGAAATTTAAAAACATAATCATGTTTTTGAATTTTATTTAGTTTTTTAAGTTCAATGGGTAAATTAAAAAATACTTTGAGATAAAAAATGAGTGTTTAGATATTGTCAAAACATGTTTAAGGTATTTAAGAAAAAAAATTAATGACAAAAATTTAAGTTTTGGGGCCGAACTACCAAAAGAAAAAAACCTAAGCAGGAATTTTTGGGCTTTTGCAAAGTTCTATAACTATTAAAAGAATTCTTTTTGAGATTAACAGATCAGCAGGAATTTTTGGCTGTCAGCAAAGTTCTTCCATTTGCTCCAACTTCATGAATGCCCTCGTCCAGCCCTAAGCTTTGGGGACTGGGGAGGGGGAGAAGAGAGTGGATATATATTAATTCTACCTCTACTCAAGCCATACTCTACAATGAACAAGGCAATAGCCAATCCTTTCGGCTGCATGGAATAAAGGTAGGAATTTTAATGCACTATACCCAATGCTTGAACATTGTTGCATTATGTTAATCCTTTACTCCATCATGTTGAGATTTAATTCTATTAAAAAAAACTTAAAACTTATGATGGGTAGTTACTTCATAATTTTATCTATTATTTATTTTTTATTTAATTATATTAATACTAAATATGTTATGTAACACTCATGTTTACTTATAGTACATATTTTGAGATATGTTCTCTTTAATTCAAAGTGAGCATTATTAGGTTAAATTCAAAAAATCGAACAAAATCAAATTAGCAAAACTATTTCAGTTTGGTTGCACAAAATATTTGAAAAAAAACCTTTAATTGAAAACCGAAATTATTTCAGTTCGATTCAATATTTAAAAATGTTTTTTTTTTAAAAAAAATTGAATTTCATCGAAAACTCGAATTAGTTTTTTTTTTTTTTTTTTTTTTAACACACACACACTTAAAGCTCGGAAGCAGAACTAATTTGTTAGGATTTCAACCATTGACTTCTTGCAAAAAACAACTATCACTAAGCTACAAGTTTTTTGGTATCAAATTAGTTAGGGGTGAGTATTATTCAAGTCGTTATATCCGAATTTTTGATAAAGAAAAGATCATCTAAATTCGACCATGGCATTTTCTTATGATTTCATTTGCTAAAACTTTAATTCAAATTATTAGCATTCCTTTAAAACCAAAAAAATGCAAAAAAAAAAAAAAAATGATCTGTTCAATTTGGTCTAAAGAAAATTTAAAATTCAGAAAAAAACACATGTAAAAAACATTAATTTTTAATCGAAAACCAAAATACTAAAATTAATTTTCGAACATCAATTTGATTGAAAATTAATTTTTTAATTAAAAAAATCAAACATCAATTTTATTCAAAATAAATTTTAAAGAAACATCGAAACCTAAAAAAAAAAAAAAAAAAAACGAAATGATTGCCCCATATGTCTCCCGTTCTATCATTTCTTTTGTTTTTAGTTTGGAACGTCATATAGGTCATACCCTAAGCATTGAGGTGTAGCCAAACGCCAATTGCTTTTTGTTTTATTAGATAAAAAAGGACCAAGCTCTTTTGATTTGACCACAAAAAATCTTCTACTTTATTAAATTTTTTTATCCGTATCAAAGCCCCAATCATTTATTTAAATTTATTGAATTTTAAGATATTTAAAGTTAAATTACGATAAAATTTAATCCATATAATTTTCTTCATTTATATATCAATTTTTATTTTTTTCATTTTTATTACGTTTATGTCTTTGGCTATCGAGAGAGGTTAGAAAATCAAGAAGAAAAAAAAAAAAAAACTCAAACGAGCCTTATTTTGGTCATGAAAGCCTCAGCTTTAATTTTTTTTTGGACGTTTACAGGGCCATGAGCGGGGGAAGGCTTGGCAAGCCTAAGCATAGCTGGGCCTACCTTGCTAAGCCCAACTCCTTTTTTCTGGGCTTTTGCTTTTCTTTTTTGTTTACTTATGTTGGGTCAAATTGAAAAATTACAAACTATTTTAGAGGTTTGGAACAATGAAATTTCAAAATGTTTATTATTAAAAGATGTTTTATTTATTACTTATTTTGCTCATATGATCTAATAAAATTTGATTAAGGAATTGATTTTGGTAAAATATAACTGTATGAGTAAATTTGGCTATTTAAGCAAAATTATATAATGCAAAATACATATATATTCAAATTTCTTAATGATTGTCATTTGTCAACCGATTGCACAATTGCATAAAATGAAAACAAATTCTTCAAAATATATTAAATAGAGATTTTTTCTCAAATTATCTATTTAAATAGAAATTCAACAAAAGAGGTAAGAAAATATATTAATTTGACAAAATATTTCAAAATTAAGTTAATTATTATTAATTTAATCATTTAACCTAAAATTTTCATATAAATTCATTTGTGACTTTTTTTTTTTCATTTGGATTGACACAAATCATAAGCATTATATATATTGAGAATTTGAACATATTGGAGTTTTTTTAAATTTAATAAAAAATAATTTCTATAGTTTTGAGAAACAAATTAATTAATTTTTATTAAAAAATTAATTATTTGATTATTTGATCAGTATTAACTAAGTTTAATTTAATATATATATATATATATATATATATATATATATATTACTCATCATTCTTACCATAATATCTATTTATTTTTAAAAAATAAAATAAATTAAAAGGCATAAAATAGACACAAAAAAACTAAATAATTTTTTTTTCAAAATATCATTCATTCATTTCTCAAAACTAAAATAATAATAATAATAATAATTGATAATTTATTCAGATTCTTACCTTTACCTTCTTCTGCTTTTTGAGGGGGTTGTGATGAGATGTTAATTTTCAAGTTTCAACGTAACCTTACGGCTTACTTACCCTCAAATTTAGCAATACCTAAAGTTTCAAGTTTCAAGTTTCAACGTAACCTTATGCCTTGACATTGACGAAAAAATAAAGTACAAAAAATGCAAGTAAATTATAAATTAGTCCTTCAAGTTTTGAAAAATGAATTGATTAGTCCAATTTGTTTCAAAAACTAATTATTTAATTTTTTTTTGTCAATTTTATGTTCTTCTTTAATTTATTTTGTTTTTATTTTGAAAAATAAACTGAGAAAAAATTGACGAATAAAGAAAATATTTTTGAAAATAAAATTACATTAAAAATATTAATTAAATAATTAGTTTTGAAAATAAAAAACACTTATTAATTTATTTTCTAAAACTAGAAAGAGGAATTTATTATTTACTCATAGTTAAATTTAGGCGATGGATCTATGGACTATGGTTGCCCTTCAAATCTTATTATTAAGGGATGGATTACCTTAAGCGGTGCTTGGAAAGCTCTTTTTATGAGTAAATTATAAATTAGTTCCTTTATTTTTAAACAATTAATTAATTAGTTTCTTTTTATTTTAGAAAATAGTTATTTTGTTTCTATATTTTTAAATATTCTGTTAATTTGATCTTTTTCATTTTTTTCAATTTATTTTATTTTTTATTTTAAAAAAGAAAAAAATAAGTAAAAAGTATTTATAAATTAATTAGTAAAAAAATTAACTGAAATAAAAATAATATTAAATTAAGCATGGTTAACAATTATTAATAGATTAAATAATTAATTTAAGAAAAAAAGGTTAATTAATTCGTTTTTCAAAACCAAAGGGACTACTTTATCATTTACTTGTTAACTACCGCTAACATCAACCGCTTATTTACCTGCCGGATAATATCTTTTGTGTCCCGACATTATCTATTATCCTGATTCCCTCTCCTCTTCTGGACGAAGCTTCACCTTCGTTTTCATGGCTGATCATTAATGGGTTTTTTCATCACTACCATCACCAGCAATGCCATGCAAAATCATGTTCTCTCCCTCTGCTCTACTACATTTGCATCATCAAACCCGTTACCAACTTTCAAAATCACCTTCTCTTCTTCCTCGACACCTTCCCGTCGTAGGTTTTACAAGCCTCATCATAGTCTCAAACGCCTTACCTTTCGCATAGTTCAGCTCACTAAAAGAAAACAACTGGAACAGATTTTTGAGGAAGTTGAGAGTGCTAAGACAAGGTATGGTATGTTGAATACGATAGTTATGAATGCGGTGATGGAAGCTTGTGTGCATTGTGGGGATATTGAGTCTGCTCTTAAGGTGTTTGATGAAATGTCTAGGCCAGAAAGTTGTGGGGTTGATGGTGTTACATATGGGACTCTGTTAAAGGTACTTAAATTTGAAATGGGTGTTTTGTTTTTTGTAACTTTCGTTTTGATTTCATGATAGTTTAACTATTATTTTAATTACTGTTTGATAGGGTCTCGGCGAGGCTAGAAGAATTGATGAAGCATTTCAGACATTGGAATCGGTGGAATTGGGTACAGCTGTTGGAAGTCCAAAGTTGTCGGCACCAATAATCTTTGGTCTTTTAAATGCTCTAATTTCAGCAGGTTTGTAAAATAAGAGATGAAGTTATGGAATTTGTTTTGTTTTCAGGTTCTTTTGAGGTAGCACTTGAAACTGTAAGAGTTTTATTAGATAAAATTGGATAGATTGGACTGGTACTTGATTAGGATTACCATTTCATGATAAGACATCGAGCCCGAATTTCAAATTTCTAGGACAAATTGCCATTTCGTTGACTTAGTAGGAAATCTATTTAATTATTGTGGTCTCACTACAAGCATCAGGTAATTTTTTTTTAATTTCTTTTTATTGATATTTTGAAAATCATGGGGCTTATTTATATTGCTGCATTTGCACTGCTGTAGTGCAGGAGATTTACGCCGAGCTAAGGGTCTTCTAGCACGCTATGGTTATTTGCTTCATGAAGGCTGCAATCCTTCCATCTCTATATATAACTTATTAATGAAGGTTTTGCACCGATCTGTATTTTTTGGGTTTTATGGCATTCCATTGAGAAGCAAATTTCTAGTATTTGTTGTCATTTTAAACGTCTCTCTCTTTGACCTCTCAGGGATATATAAATGCTGGCTGTCCTGAAAATGCCTTGACTGTGCGTGATCAAATATTGGAGTTAGGTTTAACTCCTGACAGGCTCACCTATAATACTCTAATATTTGCATGTGTGAAGACTGGGAAATTGGATGCTGCAATGCAGTTCTTTGACGAAATGAAGGTCACAAGCATGCGTTTAGAAGGCCAGTTTAGAGCCGCTATATACAAGAAATTAGGTTGTTCACAAGAAGTTATGTTGGTTTACTTAAATTATTATACCTTTGATCTTTTTCAGGACAAGGCACAAAACTTTAGCCGTGACAAGCTTTATCCAGATGTTGTCACATACACAACATTACTTCAGGTCAGTGAATTGAGCATGTATATATTATTTTGTGATGAGGAGTTTGTGAAACTTCAAATTTGAGAATTTAGAATATTGAACGAAGTGTTCAAAAACAGTTGAAAAAAATGGCATGCTTATTTTACTGTGGAAGTGGCCTCTTGATCTTTTTGTTTGTGAATCAGGCGTTGTGGTTAAATAATTTGAGGATATCTTTTTTATTCCTTTCCTTTTCTCTGTAGGGTTTTGGTGGTGCCAAGGATCTGCTATCAGTTCAGAAGATTGTTTCAGAAATGAAATTCCATCGCAATTTATTTATTGATCGAACTGCATTCACAGCAATGGTTGATGCATTGCTAAACTGTGGTTCCATGAATGGTATGCCACATTTGGATTTTTATTCAGGGTTCTGCAGTGATGATCAGATTTGGTTATAGGCTACGGTTGAATTGAAATTTGAATCAACATCAACATTTTGTAATATTTAAGCATTTAACCATACATGCATGCATGCATTCTTAAAAAAAAAGTGCTTTCTGCTTTCCACACTGAATCGTACTAGCTGGTTCATTTTAATGGGTGAAGGCAACACAAAGTGTGGTTGAACTTCTAATTTTTTTAATTTCTAACACTAGAAATGATTCTAAATTATTCTTGATATGGACAAAGATCAATAGTCTCGTAAGAACTTATGAGATGTTTACTGTGATACATATAGGTGCTCTTTGTGTATTTGGAGAAATAATAAAATGGGCTGGTGTGAACCCAAAGCTTCGACCAAAGCCTCACCTTTATCTTTCCCTTATGCGTGCTTTTGCCTGTCAAGGAGATTACAATATGGTAAAAAATCTACACAAGCGATTGTGGCCAGATTCATCTGGAACCATCTCTCCTGCAGTCCATGAAGAAGCAGATCATCTTCTCATGGAGGCAGCTTTAAATGATGGCCAGGTACTACAAATGACTTTCCTATTGTAATTTTTGTGTTTTTATTTTCTTTAAACAAGAAACCTACTCTTGTTTCCAAATAATACTACTATTTTTTAACTGTGATTAGCTGATATAATTGGGAAATTGCAGAACATTACAATGTTCCTTTGTGTTATCCTTTTGTCAGGTTGATGTGGCTCTGAAAAATCTCACAAATGTTGTACTAAAATGGAAAGGGATATCATGGACAAGTCGAGGAGGCATGGTATGTAATTGCCATTTACTTTTCATGACTAAATGAAATGAAGATTTAGGCTTCATATAGAATAATCTAGTTAAAGAACAGATGCTCTGTATTATGCAATGCTGGCATCTGCTGAAATGTTATTTCTTACTGCTTGGCAATTGGCTCGGATATTTATGAGTTTTTTTATGTATACATTAACTTTTGGGGAAAACTAGTGTTAAGAACATCTTTCAGACGTTTCTTGATGTCACCTAAATTTCCAAACTTTTTTATTGCTTTATCAACCAAGCCTAGAATTCTGAGTTTTGAAATTATGCAATGTTACCTGTGACATTTAAGTCATGGCTGTTATTTCTTGCTAAATATATTCCTACCCTCAATATACCTTTGTAATGTAGGTTGCTATGCGCATAGAGGCCTTGTTGGGATTCACCAAATCCACATTCAGTCCTTACCTGCTTCCTCAGGTACATGAGTTTTATTTTTCTGTATTTCATGTTCTTGAAGCGTATAATGGATCTCCCATTGACTGATAATGAAAAACATACAAGATGGATACATGTTGAGACTGGATCCACTATGAGTGATTCTTTTACATGAATGGCTCATGCCAAGAGTGTGACCTGATTGAATGCCCTTAGTTTGCAAATGTTTTCTTCTTGTTGGACAGTTTAATAAACTCATTATGGATGATAGATGCCTGTATGCCACTGAGAATTTTCCACCTGTGATAACTTAAGGCCATGTTTGACCTCCCTCTATAACATGACTACAATATACAGACCGCTATCTGAATGGTTAACCCCTCTGACAGTCTTGAGGACAACATCTCTGTTCAGGTATCACCAAGTGAACCAATCGAGCGTCTCATGATGCCACTAAAAGCAGCTAAGCCTCTACTCGGTTCCCTCCCCTTGAAGAAAGTGGTTATGCGCTTCTTTAAGGATCAAGTTGTGCCTATTGTAGATGACTGGGGCAGCTGCGTAGGACTACTGCATCGAGAAGACTGCACTGAGGTACTTTCCCTCTGTTGCTTCTAAATATTTTTAAATTTCTACTCAGTGACTCTTCTTGACTCACTAAACTAAATTTCCCCACTATTGATGCTTTTTTGGATGCATCATTGGATGTTTTTTTAAATATTGCGCAGTTGAATGCCCAACTGATGACAATGATGAGAAGCCTGCCTCCTTGTGTTACAACCACGACGTCTGTTGGCCATGTGGTTGATCTAATTTTAGAAAAGAAGTATAGAATGGTAGTTGTTGTAAAACATAGTAACTTAAACGGTACAACTAATAGCTCAAGTTCTAGAACTGTTGGAGTTTTTACAGCCGAACAACTGTTTGAACTTGTTGCTCCTGTACCGCAGGCATTAGAGCAAGAAAGAACTCTTCATAGAAGATGGTGTAGATAATTTTGATACATAATTTTATTGTTACTCGACCGAATTCCTGTACATCATCCTGCTGAGTGTTTATTCAATACTACCTTACTGTTTAGCCGTATGGATCATAGTTTTAAATAATGACTATTATTAAAAACGGATCTAGACATGCTTATTTTCATTATATGGCGATATAGATAGTCCAATAATGTTTCATCCAAATAAGGACAATAACACCGTTATATAACAACAATGGTTGTTATTATTGTTATTTTGATAAATAACGATTGTTAGATTATTGTTAAAAAAAAATTCTTTTGATTCTTTGATGAAACACAAGCTATCAACGTGAAATGTCACTATTTTTTTCAAATTTCGGATCTATTACACAAGTTTTCATGCATTATTTTTTCAAATTATGGATGTATTATACAAGTTTTTATGTAGTTAAATGATTAAACTATCGAGATATTATTATGTTTAATTAGTAAAATTATTAAAAATATATAAATTAGAATAAATTTATTAGTAACTAATATATTTATAACATTAATTGCTGTGATTGTTATTTGTTGTTACAATAAACTGCGATCTACAATTACGATAACGATAGTTTTTAAAACTGTTAAAATAACTCATTTCCATGAAAATATTTTTCATGGAATTTATTTTTCAAAATCAATTTTTTTTCTTGCAGATAATTAGAGCCTTAAGCAGATAATTATGAAAACATATTAGATATTTAGAAACATATAAAAAAAGGAAACTAATATTAATTTTTCCAAAAAGATTCTTCCCCAAAATTAGATGAGTTGCAAAAATTTTCAAGAAAATTAGCACCACTCAGAAAAAAAATAAATAAATAAGAATTTAAATCGGTCACACTAATTAAGCACAATTAAACTTTCCTAAGAAACTCACAAGCCCAGGACCAGATCCAGAGAAATGGCCTTGGGCCATCTAGGTGTCTCTCCTGGGTCCAGTGGGGTAGAACATGAGACGATCTCTAGCAAACTGCAAGTCGTTTCTTCCCATCCATTTCTCAACCAAAAACCCTCTCTGATTTTCCTCCTCTTCCAAAAACCCTAAATCCCATTGGCATGTAACTGAAATTAAAAAAGTAATGGCGTTTAGAGGGAGGGAGATGATGAAGAAAATAATGGAAAAAGTAGGAGGAGAGAAGAGCTTGGCTCCTGGTGTTAAACAATCTCTTAAAAAAGCCATACCTGATAGCAAAGTTGTCATGAATCGAGCCAAACGTGGCCTTTTCGCTGGCCGTCACATCCAGTTCGGTAACCAAGTCAGTGAAGATGGTGGTAACAAGTAAGTTCCTTTTCACCCTCCTTCGCTTCTAATGACTGATGGGTTTTGACTGATATTTTGGTTGTTCCTTGTTTTTGTTGTTAATATTGATGTTTGGGATTGGGATGTTGCGTGTTTTCTCTAGTTTTAGCTGTAATGGAAACGGTTAAAAATTTGTTTTGGAAAATGGGTATTCATTTTAGAGCAAATGTGATATTTGTGAACTGGGGATGTTCTTGTTCTTTTCATAAGATATAGATTTTGAAAAGAACAATTTGGCTGTTGATGTGGTTATTAGGCTGTAATTCGTGAGATTGACTGGAGGTTAGAGGCTAAATTGCAGCATTTACAATAAGGTCGAGTAACTAAAGATACTACTATAATAATTGGCTGTATGGTTGTCTGGCAAAGGAAGAATGTTTGCAATTGAATAGGTTTGAGTACTTTACTTGCTGGATGCAATAGGCAAGGAATGTTTTATCTGCATGCTGTTGATTTTGTGAAATATCTTGAAATACTTTTGGAATGTGCTGTTGAATATTTCTTAGATTAGTTGTTGAACTACTGTTCCTAAAGAAGTAGTCTTTTTAAGCAATTGATTTTGATCAGAGCTTGCTTAGTCGTGAGTAATGTTTTTACGTTGTATGTGATTCCGGTGGCTGTGTCTGATGAGGATTATAGCTATTTGATTGATGTGGCTTGTTTTAGCTTTTGTGTGAGAGACTTGTAGCTTGCCCAATTTTGGTGTAATGAATTTGTATTGGGAAGAAAGAGTAGTGTATTTTGCTGAAGTGCTTGTGTGTTGGTGATTGTAGGAGTAGGAGAAGTTGGAAGCCAAATGTCCAGGAGAAGAGATTGTTTAGTTACATCCTAGACCGCCATGTTCGAGTCAAAGTCACCACTCATGCTCTCCGTTGCATAGACAAGGCAGGAGGGATTGACGAGTATCTGCTCAAGACTCCTTATCACAAAATGGACACAGAAATGGGCCTCTTGTGGAAAGCCAAGATTGAGAAGCTATATGAAGAGCTTGGGAACATGGAGGTGGTTTTCTTTTCACCTGAAGAAGAAGCCAAGATTGATCAGGACTTCAAAGATATGAAGCTAGAGCAGCGGGAGGCTCGTAAGCAATTAAGAAGACAGATATATGGTTGGTCGGACAAACAGAAGCAGATTGACGAACAAAAGGAAGAAAATCTGGACCCTGACAAGTGGGGAGAAAATCCACATGATATTCCAGAGAATCAGATTGCTAATATTTGAGTCTGACTGTTCACATTTTGTCAGCTACTTTTTTTCCCCCTTTATATTGTTATATTGTTAGACTCAAGTGGTTGCTGGCCGAATGGCCAAAAAACTTTTGTATGCTTTTAGTCTGTTAACAGAAGAAATTGCTGTGACATTTCTTTGCTTATTTACTCAACTTGGCATCAAATAAACATTTCAGTTTTCTGTTTGCAATGGCCATCATCTAGTTGAAGGATATGAAACATGATCCAGATTTTAGCAATCAGGCAAAGTTGTAGATAGGAGGATTTCAAGGAGGGACATTTTGTGAATAAAATTGGGAAAGTCCCTGTGAACATGTCAATTTTTTATTTTTTCGTTTTCAAACATCAAACAAGAGAAAGGATGTTTGCAGTCCATTATAATAGCATTTCTGTTGTTAAGTAATGATAGAAGTATATTTGAAGATGATTCTCATAATCTTCAAGGTAATAGTTCGATCTTTTCCTTTCAATGAATAAACAAAACTATAGCTAGATGACAAAAAATGTCTGCTATATTTTTATGGAAATGGTTTGAGTTAAATCCTGAAAATGTTTCAGCATTGTATCCATTTGGTTCATCATCTTTCTTTATTTTTATTTTGATTTATTATGCCTTTTTATTGTATATTTTTAGCTTATTATGTCTTTTAATTAACACATTACATGGTTGGTGTTGGACACGTGGCATTCAATTAGGATGCCATGTGTCAAATTTTAAATTTGACTTCTTCTTTTTTACCGTAAAATAACGAAATATTTTAAGAAACACAGTTTTTTCTTTTTTCTTTTTTTGACATTTGGCATCCTGATTGAATGCCATCTGTCCAACACTAATCATGATTAGTGTGCTATTTAACTGAAGAACATAATAAGCTAAGAAACTATAATAAATTGATATAATTAATCAAAATAATAGTAGAAGGGCATAGTGAATCAAATGGATATAATACAAGAATATTTTCATGCTTTAATTCAGAAATTCTTACGCTACTAATGTACTGTATCATCCTTCATTTTACAAATTTAAACTGAGATTTCATAATAAGATGCTCCATCACTTGTAAGTTTGTTGGCTAAATTATAAATTAGTCTCTTTCGTTTCGAAAAATTAATTAATTATTTTTTTAATTTTAAAAATTAATTATTTATTCATTTATTCATTTTTTTATTTTAAAAATAGAAAATAAATAAAATACAAATAAAATAATAAAAAGATTAACAAAAAAGAAGACATTTTATAAAATAAAAAATATTAAATTAGTCGAAGTGAAAAATGGTTAAAAAAATTAAATAATTAGTTTTTAAAACTAAAAAGACTAATTAATTTATTAAATTCTTAATTTAATTTCAATTGACATGTAAGTTAGTTTGAGAATACCCACTTTTATCCTTGGAAAAAAAGAAGCTCAATGATAAAAAAAAGGGAAAGAGCTTTAGTGTTCCCTTTATTCCCCACAAGTTTCCTAAAACTTAGTCAGCAAGAAAAAGAAAGCAGATATTGAAAAATAAAAAATAAATATATAAATAAAATTAAAATTAAGTGACCGTTATGCACCAGTCGAAGCCCATCTTAACAGCGGTGTCACATCCCAAAATGACAGTCCAATGAGAAAAAGAAGTTTAACAGAAATTAATTCAAACGAGGCAAATAGTGCATCTGTGATTTACCAAAATCTAACCCCTCTGTCACCCAACTCATCAAGTCATGAAATTCGTCACGTTGTTAGCTGTAGCTTAAACAAAAGTAAGAATCATTAGTGACAAGACACGCTTTCTTGTAAGAGCTGAGTATCTTACGTCGCAATCTTCTTCTTGTCTTAATCTTCCTATAAATACCTTCTTTACTTCATAAATTCTCACAATCAGAACTCAAAATGGGGAAGCAGAAGTGGTCAGTTTTCGGCCCTTTGAAGAGGGCTGTCAAGAAAATAAACTTTCTACTCAACTTCAACTTCAGAAAGTGGCGATTGGCCTCAATTCTTAGTAGTGCTTCTTCTTCTTCTTCTTCGTCTGGAAGGATGAGAAGGTTAAGCTTTAATGATCGACTTGGCTTACAAGGGGCAATTGAAGATGCTGAATCAGATAATCAGAACAAGCCAGTTCGAACATTTGAAAGGGTTAGAAGCTATGGTTCGTCAGATGAAGATATTGATAAGAGAGCAGAGATTTTTATTAATAATTTTCGACAGCAACTGTTGATGGAAAGACAGGTTTCTTTGAGGTTAAGGTATTACAGAGGGAATAGTTTTGGAAGGGACTACTGAGGAGAACGAATGTGATGATTGGATGGCAAGAAATCAATAAATTTTTTACTGGTTCTTGCATCGATTTGTTGGGATGCTGGGGAAATCTTGGATTGCAATTTTTTCGATGATATGAAATTCAAGTGTTGGTTTTGTGTAATTAATTACTTCTGTTATTACTTTATATTACTTGATGAAATAAAATAAAATATTATTCAGTTTGATTCTGGCAGTATATATATATATATATATATATATTCTAACTTTATTTTATTCAACTTGGAAATGTTATTTGAGGCACAAGATTTATGAGCTCTAAGATCAATACCTGCAACTTGGAGTTCTACGGGCTGAACATAAATTGTAACGAGTAACAATATCGGAAGGTTAAACAGGGAATTAAATCAGAAATTTCACGTACATAGCCTCTACCAGCCATGGGCAGAGTGGAGTTGAGAAGAAAACACAAACAACAGGGAATTAAATCTGCCAAAATATAACTGTCTGCTGAATGCTGATGGAGGGAATCAAGATAATAAAAATCCTGTTGGAAATCTTCAGAGAGGCAATCCTCAGAGAAACTGCTAGTCGACCAACAAGATACATTAATGGCGGTGGCATTTTCACACTTCTTCGAATTCCAATTGCAGACAAAATGTAGGAAAAGCAATGGATTCACCTTGAATTTTACATGGCCCAGAAGTCTGCTCAACCAAGAATCATTATTATAAATATACTAGAAAGATATATAGTTTCACTGTAACTAAACTCTGTTATAGTGAATCAAAACAAAGTGTTTCTTTTTGCCTTTTTGTTATTGGTCCCCTTAATTATACTTTAGTCCTTCAAATTATTATTTTATACAAAACGGTTATTAACTTTAATTATGGTTCCAAAAAGGTTTATGTATTTTTTGTGACTGTGTTGAGTTTCCAGTCCAGCCCAGCCCAGCCCAAATTTTTTTTTTATATACTTTTCTTCTTTTTTTTTCATTATTTATTATTTACTCAAAATAATTTTTTTCTCTATAATTAATGGTTACTTTATTATTATTATTATTATTTTTGTATAGACTCATTAACTGAAATTAAACATTCTTCTAATTTGATTTTTTAAAAATAAATAATTAATCACAAGTTTTTTTTATCAAAATAAAAAGATATTCCTAGGATGTATTTAAACTCAATTATGAAATACATATATTTTATTAAATATTACATAATACATATTAAATTAAACAATTTTTTACAATTAATGTTAATTAATTTTTATTCTAGGCATAGATTTTTAATTAAAAAAAAAAAAAAGCTACCTTGACAACAAAACAAGAAACATTGCAAACATTTGTTTGCTTGTTAGACACCAAAAGGGGAAAAGATGTTGCTTCTTATATTGATTCATGACTTACACAAAATAAGGAACAAATCATGAATTGCAGGTCTACATTAATATTCTCAGAGATCATGTCAGAATGTACAAGTACAAAAGTACAGATCTTTTCAACTTTAAACAATGCTGGAGTTTTAGAGCACTATGCATCTACAAGTTGTTTTGTTAAGACTCGAATAAGAACCAAATCATAGCTCAGGAACATTCCTGTGGACTGTAAACTTCATCAGGTTACTTCATAGTGAAGTTCATCTCTTGTAGTGTCTATCAGTCCTTCACCTTCAGGTGATCTAATTGATTCCCTGCCAAAGACAAATGAAGAGAAGATAAATAACAGAATTACTTGATGCCTGCAGAGAGTGTTTTTCGTTTTAATTCTTTCAATAACTTAGCATTTCATCAATTTTCGATTAAGTTAGTGATTTTTATTTTCAAATTGACCTTCTTTTAATGTCTTATTTTACTCTTTCTTTCACAATCATGGTGATCTTTCTCTTTTGTCAACTATTATGGTGACCTCTCTCTCAGTTTCTTCGATCAATTGATGGTTAAGGAGGTTGAGGAGGGAGAGAAAGAGACTGGATGGAAGATAAATATAAGATATAAAAAAAAATTGAGAACAAAAATTACTAATTTAAAAGAAAACTAATGAAAGTATTAAGTTATTGACAAAATTGAAATATAAAAATTAAATGATTAGTTTTTAAAATGAGAGGAGCTAATTAATTCGTTTAAGAGAAAGACTAATTTATCATTTACTTTGTATTTACCAGCAAAAAAAATTACTTGATTCCATATTTCAATACATACAAATATTTACCTGATAATAAAAAAATATATAAAAAAAAATTCTTAAATTTTTTGACCCAACTAGTAAATTGTATATTTCATGCCAGGAAAAAAACATATTAATTTTCTCACCCATTTCTATTTTCACTGAAAAATTAGATTCAGTCTGATCAAATTGTTAATCTTTTGCTCCTTATAAGTAATTTCATTTAAATTTAGTCTATAGTCAATAAAAAAGAAAAGAAAAGAAAAGAATAGTATCAAAATGTCGTTGTTTTATATATTTATATTTTTATGAAACTCATACGTTGCAAAATGTCGTTTTCTGTTAAAAAATCATAATAAAAACAAGAAAGGTAGTAGGACGTTTTGATAAAACATTGTGCAACTGATGGGAGTCAGTGTTAGGTAAACAAGATGGTTTACTTTAGACTTTTTCTTCATTAAAATTCGTGTATTATTTTTCAAAGAATCAATCAAAGTTTTGATAGAATATTATATAATGGTAAATTTTGCTCATATTCTATTATGATTTGACAATTTCAGATATATAGTATCAAATGACATAATTTGAATTTCAAAACATAAGAGATTGGATAAATATAATCTATATTGTCCAATTTTCATCATGTGTAATGGTCAATCCAAGTTGATCATTACTTCAAATGTCAAAACGTTGTTTTGACATTTCGCTATTAATTATGTTTTTTTTAAAAAATAGTTTAACCCCTTAAAGTTTTTTTCCTTATAAAATATTATAAAAATTTTTTATATATATATTTTGAACTTCCTAATTTTGAATTTTTTTTATAAAATATTATTATAAGAAAAAAAAACATAATTAACAATACAAAATTTCAAGCCTTAAAAAAATATTTTATAAATTAAAATAAGCATAATTAAGGATTGATCCCCCTAATTTTATAAATTATAAAAGGAACATTTTATATAAAATGTGTATAATATTTATTAAAAAAATCAAAATTAAGGGGTTAAAAATATTTATAAAATGTTTTTTACATATAATTTATACAATTTTATAATATTTTATAAGGAAAAAAGTTTAAAAAAATAGTTGAAGATTAGGGAGTTAAAAATATTTTTAAAATATTTTTTTAAAAAACATAATTAATAGCGAAATGTAAAAATAACGTCGTTTTTTCATTCCAAGTAACCGTCAACTAAATTGACCGTTACACATAACGAGTTTTGGTAATTTAAATTACATTTGTCTAATTTCTAATATTTTGTTATTCAAATTATGCGATTTGATATTATAAATCTGAAATTGTTAAATTGTAATAAAATAAATATAAAATTTACCATTAAATCGAATATTATGTAAGTGGATAGGGATCTTATGATTCTTATATATTTATATTTTTGTGAAACTCGTACATTGTTGCTTATATATTTATATTTTTGTGTCGCTCATACGTTGCATAATGTCGTTTTCTGTTAAAAAAAAAAATCACAATAAAAACAAGGAAGGTGGTTGGACATCATTTTCTGCTAAATGTTAAATTTTACATTTCTGATAGCCAACTTTACGTGGGTAGGGATCTTCTGATTCTTAAGATATATCTATTCATTTTCAAATTTATAATTATTTGTGAAATTGCAAGCGGCTTTGATTTATATTAATTGCAAGCGCTTTGATTCTTAAATTGGTCTCTCTCTCTCTCTCCATACATATATATATATATATATATATATATATATATATATATATATATAATAATAAAACTGAACTAAGAATTTGATCTCTACTAATTTAATTGTGATTCTTAAGATTAGTTGTTTGAATCAAATTTAATTAACTGGATTATTCTTATATATAAAATCCGGATTTTGGCTTTAATGGAACAATCAATCATGTTAGGACAAGAAATTTTATATTACTCAAAGAGTAATTAGTGACATGTAAAGTATTTATTCTATGAACTCATTTTTAAGAGAGAGAGAGAGAGAGAGAGTGGTTATCCATAGATGGGAAATGGACTAAGATTAAACTGGCTTGCTATTGTTATCCATAGATGCAGGATCAACTGATGCCTCTTCATTCTTCTGATCGTCCTCGACAGCAAGCATGACTAGGATCGCAAGCAATGGATAACTCACTGTATAAAGTGACCAATTCACAATCAACTGGTTAAGCAATGGAACTTTGTGTGTATCAACTTGCCAAGCAATTGCAGCCCCTGCACTCTGCACTCCCTTGTAGAATCCAGCATATCTGCAATTACGTTCAAACAACATAGTTTAGCCTCAAAACAAAGGCATATTTCTGTTTCTGTTTCTCACAGAACATGAATTACCTTCTAAGAATCTCAGAGTCATCAGCTAAGGCTCCAATCACCCAGTAGACCGTGCTTTGGAACATGGCATCTAGCAGTCCATAGCTGAAATACAAAACGAAAGGCCCTGCGAAATCGGAACCGGAGTCCTTGAAATCCAACTTGGGTGGTAAATCATTGTGGCTATATCCTAGCTGCTTTGCAAGTCCACCTGCCCAGATAGCAGTCCCAAGCACAGAAACAATTCCAATACCAACAAAGCCTCTTTTCCTCCTACTCTGGAAGCTGAAATCCAATATATATCCAATCCCAACAGAACCCACCATCTGTGCCCCCCAATAGAACACATTGTTCAATCCCCTTGTCCTCAAATTAAAGAGTGCCCCATTCACATTATTGAACTGGTAACTGTGAACAAAGTTGCTGGCCCAAGCAGCAGGGGCAATGAGAAGCATCTTCCAATTTAAGAACAACTTACTAACCTCCACAATCTCCGTAGAAACGTTGGAGTACTTAATGTTTGTGCAACGTGTGCCATCATAGCGAACCACTTGGCTCGGTGGCAAAATGGCCAAAGAAACTAGAGTCCCCACCGTCATGAAACACATGAATCCGATATAAGTCCCATCGTTAACAGAAGTAGCCTCACTCCGGTTGTAATTAAGAATGAAAGGAATCAACCCACCAATGACCCCTCCCATGTTGAGTATGCTCCAAAACAGAGAAATATAAGTCCCCTTTCGATGCGGGGGCGGATAAGAGGTCATGATTGCCCCTTCTCCAGCCCATAAGAACCCAGCACCAATGCCAAGAATGGCACCAGCAACGATAGGAAAAGCCTGATGCTGCTCGTGATTGTAATAAAGAAAGGACCCTGCATATAACACATAAGTGCTGCAACCAGCAGCTAAGGTCAAGCGAGGACCAAGAATGTTGTAAATTCCACCACCGAGAATGCCAAAGATGGCAAAGGTGGTGTAAAGGGCGGTGTTGGCATTGTTGGCAGCAGTGGGATCCACCTGACCACCACCTCCCATACCAGAGAGGGCAATGAACATACCAGGACAACAGAAACAGACAAGTCCTATGAGGGTAACCTGGACTAACGGGGAGTTGTATCTGAATCTTGATTTGGTTGACACTTGGTTGGCAGCCGACTCCTCATCTCCTTCGAAACCCATGTCAGGTCAGGATTGTGTTGATTGTTTGTTTCTGTGTTTTGGAAAGAGAGAGAGAGAGAGAGAGAAGTGTTAGCATTTGGGGATCTTAAGTGAAGATGAGAGATTTGAGATGAGGATGAAAAAGAGGTGGTGAATTTAAGGACAGGACACTTGAAAAAGGCTAACAGGTTTTTAGCCTTGCAGTTCTTCTAGCAAGACGGCGAGAATGATGAGGATTGCTGATATTAGATTACTCGCAGAATCTGCAGGCCACCCCATTTCACTGATTTTTTCCTTTCTTTCAATTAAATTGTGTTTATGCATACAAAATATTAAAGAATTAATGGAGTCAAGAAGGAACCTATCAACTGATTTCTTTTCAGGTTGAATTTTTAATTATGTAAACAATGACGGATGCCATCAAACTATGGGCTTTAATCATAAATAAAACAAATTCCAAAGTCTCCAAAACAGTCAAGCTATCAAAATTCGAAGGAACTACATGTTCTCTCTGGAATCTGGATTTGTACTTCCTTGCTTTTCTTGCAAGAAATAAATCACACCAAGTTAAAGATGAAGGATTATCATAAATACAACGACATAAGAAAATTAAAGAACTAAAGAATTCAGTTAAATAGCAACACAAGGTTCCCATTTTCAAACATAAGGAAACAATAAAATTAATAAGAACTTACAGAAAAAACAATCCAGACGAGGTAAAAAAAAAAATACAGAAAAGGAGGAACAAATCTTGAATAGTAGTTTTGGATTGACTTTCTCATAGATCATATCAGAATGTTGAATTACAGAAGTACACATATCCTTGAACTTTAACAATGAAAAAGTTTAAACCGATTAATAAGATGAAAAATAATTGAAGCCAACTGCATTCATCAGATAATGAATCGGAGAATCAAATCATTTCCCAGGAACATTCCTGTAGAAAGTAAACTTCAACGGGCTTCTTTGTAGTGAAGATCATGTCTTGTAGTGTATATCAGTCCTTCACCTTCCAAGTGATTTTATTGAATCCCTGCCAAAGACAAATTAAGAGACGATAAATAACAGAATTACTCGATACTGGCAGAGAGCAAGAGAAAGAGGAAGGGGATGAGGGATGGTGGCAAGAGATTACTTGATGTTCTCCATGGGAAGTTTCAGCTGTTTGCAAAGTTCATGCATGTGCATACCTGCTTCCTGCTATCAAGATCCAACAAATTTCAGTAAAGAAGGCAGAGCAATAGAAAGGTCTAGGAGAACTGGTCAGAAGTATGTGAAGAAAGAAAATCACTAATGTCAATAAAACTCACATGCTTGAAGATTGTTGCAGACAGTCAAGGACCACTTCATCGCAATCCGCGTCCATGAAAACTAAATTTCTCAGAGAACTGGAGAAAGAAAAGGACAAAGTTAAACATATACAGCAGCAAGGATATTGAAAACAACTTCAACATGAAAAAGAACAATTTCATAAATATAGGAAGCTTATGACATCCATACCTTACAGAGAAAACTAACTGCATCACATCTTGAACAACCCTCAGGTGCCCTTTAAGAAGGACATACATTTTGTCCCCTATTATGTAATCAGAAGCTCTCAAATGTTTAAGAGCTCATAATAACAGCATACTATGGCAAGGGAAATGAACAGGACATATAACTTACTCTTTTATCTTCATTTCCATTGTGTCAAAGTTCTTACGCACCCTGCTAAGAATGTTAAAAACAAGTCAACTATTTTCCACAAAAAAAAAAAAAAAAAAAATTGCAGCTCTAGCTAGAACTGAAAAGATAGAATTATTACAAGATGCAAAGCATCTGTTTCTAATAAATGAAACTTGCACTCAGTAATGCATGACAATCATATTTCGAACTATACCGTGATTGTGCCTTCAGTTTTTGCCTCGGACTACTCAATCTGGTGCCACATCTGTGCATGCATTTGCTAGCTGATTTCAGAGTTCAAAGCTACTTGAAATCCAGTTCCATCATTCACATTACCATTTGTTGTCTAGCATGCTGTAGTTGATAAAGGAAGACTGGTAGAGTAACAGCGAAAAACAGTTGTCAGTTAAATAAGAAATCCCTATGAAAGAACTACTTCATATAGAGGAAGCCACACACGCCCATACCTTCTAGAGAAAAACAACTGCTTCGCATCTTAAAATATTCTCAAGTGCCCATTAACATGAGAATACATTCTGTCCCTGTTGCATAATCAGAAGCTCTCAAATATTGTTAAAGACTTCATTTCCATTGTCAAATTCTCTTTCACCCTGTTAAAAGTGTTAAAACATAAGTCAGTGCTATTTTTTGGGACATGTAAGAGACCCAAAATCATGAATTAAAATCAACAATTCTTTCAGTTATTTTGCAAAAGTAAACTGGTTGCTGGTGAACATTTTCGTTAAATAATAGAACTTAGAATTTTGAGAGACGTGTGTGTTTGAAGCTTGAAAGAATGTGAGAGGAACTTATTATTTGGAAGTGAAGTATTATCAATTGAAGTAAGAGTCAGATACACATATTCAGTTTAAGGACTACAAGTAACACAAAGAGAGGCACAGAGAAAACACACATATTCAGTTTAAGCATGCCTTGATCCATGTATTAAAGAAGTAAGAAACAAGTCAAGTACCTATCTTTCAATTTCTGGCTCAGTATTGAAATCGTGGAGTGCGAACATTTTATATTATTCATTGTTCTCTGCACATAATTACTTGGAGACAGTCAAGGACCAATTCATCACAAATCCTTTATTCAATCGACAACTGTGGACGAAAAACTAAAATGTTATTACAAATGCATACAACAACAGGGAATTGATAAAGAAATTTAGTTGATTCAGTTTCATACTAGGTTTGATGTGCATGCTTGGTGTCCACATGATCCTTTCTGCACAGATTTTTTGCTGATGATTCTACCATCTGAGGCTGATTCGATAGAGATTGCTTCTATTAGGAAAAAAAACACCTAATCAACCAACAGAAATCATGCTTATTCACCTTCACATATTATAATTGAGAACACATAGTTTATCAGTACTAAGAGATCATCAATACCTGCAGCCTGTGTGGAATTCTCCAAATCAGAAGGTGTAGAATCTATGAAGGAAAAGTGATCTTATTGTTTTTATGGCCTACAAAACATGATAAATTATGATAAGAAGCCTTATAAAAAAGAGAGAGAGAGAAAAAGGAAAAAAGAATTGTATTTTGTTTTAACTGCATGAAGAGCAACTCAATTTTTGCTCCTTTACTTAGTGTAGAAATAATCAATAACAATAGTTGGCATGTGGTTGATGTTAGTAAATAAAACTCACATTAATTCTTGAAGACTATTACAGACAGTCGTTTAGTCCATCAAGGTAATTGTTGAACCAAATTATAAATTTCTTAATCTAGAAAATAACCAGGCTGCAACTAAACATATATAGTTCCATATTAGCAGACAAAACCAGGTAGGAATGTTCATGAATGCAGTCTCCCCTAGCCATGGGGCGGATTTGAGTTTGAAGAGAGAGTGAAAATTAAATAGAACTTGATCTACTAAATTCTGTCAAGGTTTGTACTTCTATTGAAACTTGAGAGGGGGAACCTACACGAGATAACAGGAAGATCTTAAAGTAAATAAAATTCACATGCTTGAAGGCGTCTGCAGACAGTCCAGGACCATTTGATTGCAGTTCTTTGGTCCATCAACACAAAATTGCTGAGAGAACTGAGGAAAGAAAACTAGAATGTTAAATGCATGCAGTAACAAGGACATTTGAAAAGAACTCTTTAAGAAGATTCATACTTGGTTTGATATGGATGTGTGGCCTCCATTCGATCCACTATGCAGAGGAATGTTCTCAGATGGTTCTATTCACAGTTCGAGGCAGAATCAAAGCATCACCGTCGAACTTCAATTGGAAAGAAACTTCGTTTTGTAAGAAAACTAAGAACATTGAAAGATGTCAACAACAAGGTAATTGTTGAAGCAAATTCTAAATTGCTGAAAGAGCTGAGGTGGATGCTAAAGGCCCATAGTAAAAATATGGGTTCTTTACGTTATAGTGGTTCTTAGTATACACTTCACAAGGATTTAGTTGCTGGGATTCCAAAATCAGTTCTGCTGACAGCAGGATCAGCAGTCCATAATGATTTATACACCAGGTGTCTGGACTCTGGTGCCCCGTTTGTGCACACATCCATATCCATGATTCCACTTTCAAAGTTCAGAACTACTTGCATTTCATTTCCATGATTCCACTTCCATAATCTCAAAGTTCAGACTATTATTATCACTTGTTGCCAAAGGTTGTGTGGTTGATAGAAAAAGAATGGTAAAGCGACATCGAAAATTGCCATTTAAACAAGAAATCCCTGAAAAAGGATAACTTCATATACATTGAAAGCTTATCACATCCATACAGAGAAAACTATCTGCTCCACATCTTGAACGACTTTCTCATGTGGCCCATTAACAAAAAACATGCTCTGTATAATCAGAAAGTCTAACATGTTAAGGACCTCATTACACCACCATATATACATTAGCAAGGGAAATGAATAAAGAGAGGAAGGGAGAGATTACTTGACAGTCTCACGGAAAGTTTCGACATTTTGCAAAGTTCATCCAGTATACTCCACACCCTCCTTGCCTTCTCTTAGCCTTCCACTCAACTCTTCAATGCATCCACTGACATACAGGTTGGGTAAATTTGTAATTTGATTAATTGAAAAATGTTATGATTATTCCAAAATAAAAAAGAAAAAAATAATTTAATCAGATCATATGTGTGGATAATGTATAAGGAAAGAAAGAGAGTATGTAATGAAATAATGAAAAAAAAAGACGTCGACACTTCTCTTCGTCCAACCCCCTCAACGTCTATGTACTCCAAATCATCCATTTTCAAAATATTCAATTCTTCAAGAAAAGGGATTCCATCTAAGGGAGGGATATACTTGAGTCTTCTACGATCTTCTAGTTGAATCTTTTTTAGACCTTTGAGATATGAAAGCCAACTTGGAAGA